AGATTTGTCACAACCTTCGTTATTGAGACGTTGCCTTGGCGGCAAAACACAAAATAATAATGAATCATTTAATTCCTTAATTTGGAAATTTTGTCCAAAGACATGTCGTGCTGGTAGTAGGATAGTTCAAATTGCTGGAAATGAAGCAGTAATTGCTTTTAACGAAAGGTCTGTTGGTAGACATTCTGTAATGAATGAGCTACAGCTTTTTAGAAGTAAGTTTTCTATTGAAGGATTTTTACAAATTGATAACAAGAGAATAGATAACGCAGAAAAGAAAGGCTTGTCAGAAACAAAACAACAGCGTAAACTTGAAAGGCAGCAAAAAATGTCAGAAGTGCAGGCCTCCATAAAAATGATGGGGATGTTTATTGTGCTGGTGCGTTTTAATTTGTAAATAAAATTTTAGCAGTTTAGCATACAATTTGAAGTAAGTCGTAAACGATTTTTCACCCATGTTAAATAATATATGTATATTATACAATATAATACATATCATATGCTTAAATGCTTGAGTTTATTTAACTAAAGTGGTTATGTAAAAATAAATTTTTGTGCAAATATGCTACATGTATTTTAATATACGGCTATCATTCTGTCATGGTAATGTATATAGCAAGGTAAATTTAACGTGTTTCATACTAACAAAAGCTTCTGCAATTTATTAGGATTTATACTTTTTAAATATATCATTTTGAAAATAAATATACTATGCACTTTATTATTAGAAAGTTATATACTGAAGTATTGGCATTAAAACTCAAATTTCTTAAAATACGGTTTTTCGCAGTTGTATACATAGCATTTAAAGTATGCTAAAGTTACCCTGTGGAAGAACTATTAAATGATTTATATGTTTGATATACAATAATACATTACAGAGAACTTTACCTGAAACATTTGCCTATAAGTAAGTTCCAATTTGTAAGAAAAATTTTAGTTGTATCATTGATAGCGTAGAAGTTTCAAATCATTTTTAGTTGATATGTTATACTTTGATGATGGCAGCTTATTTTACATTAATTATGCTTATACCAACTATTGGAAATTGTATAATATTACAATATCTCTCAGAAAATAAGCATTTTATATATTTTATAACAAGAGAAGTATTTAAAAAAATATTTACATTAAAACTTGATTATCTCAAAACATAAATTTTCACTGTTGCGCGCATGATATTTTAAAAACGGTTCTTGGTACACACTTTAAATTTAATGGACTTCTTTATATGAGTATTATCATCTAACTGAACCAAAAATATATTGAATATTTTAATAGTCAAAAATTTTACGCATGGAAATATTAAAAATTTTTTATTAAAATGCATTGTATAAATTTCTTAAGATTTTTGGTTCACAGTAGTCTTTAGATGCTATACAAGCTGTATATTAACTATGAAGTTAAAATATATAACAGAATGTTTTAAATTGTGCACGCAAAGTGGGAGTATTACGTGAACATATAAAAAATTACCTCACAAAGAAGATTAAATTATAAAAACATTTGTGGCAACACAAACTATTTGCTTACTAATTCAGCAGCTGTGCTATGTAGTCAGCTGTAAAAAACTGGAAGTAATAGCTTTAAAAATAAATATGCTATCCCAATTCTTACAACAGGATCATATTCAGAGATTTTGAGGGTTTTAAGGTGTACGAGCCCTTTCATTCATTGTAATTTTTTGACTGATACTAAGTATATAGGTTGCACGTAATTATTAATCGTATTCTCTCCCATTTCATTTTAGGCTAGTCGCAATCCAATGAGTCAATATTTTTAGCTACCTGTAGAGACATTAGGTATTTTTTGAAAGCAGACAAGATGAAAAATAGCAAACGCCTTCGCCGGGAATCGAACCACGGACCTCTGGAATATAGGCCCAGCGTGCTACCGTTACACCACAAAGGCACGCTAGGGAAGTGGGAGAAATAACTTATATACTCCCCTTTTTAAAGGGCGACTAGTGTTTTAGGGGACATAGTCGCCAAATCCTGAGTGCGGAGAATCATCATCCACAACCCTTTTAGTTCGGGCGCCACTTGTAGAGTCATTAGAATTTTTTTAGAGGCAGACAAGATGAAAAATAGCAAACGCCTTCGCCGGGAATCCAACTAAGGACTTCTGGAATACCGGCCCAGCGTGCTACCGTTACACCACAAAGGAACGCTAGGGAATTGGGAGAAATACCTTATACACCAAGCAAAACACAAGAAAACGTCAACAATACTGTCGACAAGATTCAAACTCCGAACTCGTCGATTAATCAGTTGGATGTGGTATCAGTTTTACTTAGAAAGGAGAACATTCCTTATATTTTCCCTCACTCAAAAAGGCGACTGAAAACACAGACAACCCATTAGCCAAATGGAGGCAGTAGTGAATTATCGTCCAGTACATTTTAATCGGACTTCCCTTGTAGAGTGTTTAGGAATTTTTGGAGTGAAAAACAGTTGGAAATTAGCTATGCCGTCACCGACATATGAATTCCAGATCATCCGATTGCTAGCCTGACATACTACTATTTACACCACAAAAGTACACGATAAGGATGATGAAAATTCCCAATACGGTAAGAAGCTGAACTATATAATTTCTGCCTATTAATAACTGATCTATCATTGCAACAAAAATCATTAAGAAATCATTCCATAATCGTAACTGAAATAAATAATTCTTAAACATTGCAAAACAACTAAAAATCTAATAATTTTGAAAGAAAGTCGGTGTTACAACTCGAACGCAAAATGAGCGAAAGTTTCTCTTCAGCCAGTGGCAACGGGGAGTCGAAAAACGAACTTAGAAGAGAGCGGTCGCTCAGTCGGTTTCTCTCGATAGAATTTGATACGAAGGGGGGATAATCCCCATCTTTTGATTTGAAATTAATCTCAAATTATATATATATTGTAATATAAAAGATGTGTGTAAATAAAAGTCATTAAGATTTAATTGAATTAGTGATCTGAATCGAATATAGAAATCGAAAGCTCTCCCAAATAGAACTATGGATTTTAGAAATGACATATTTTAATGGTGCCTTCACCAAGGGACGTTTGGATTAGAATTTAGAAGATTAGCAGTTGGATTACCTGTAAACAGGTAAGCAATTCCTTTTTCTTTGAAAATTTGGAAAAAACTGAGTTTCAATATTGTGATTAGTCAATTTTAAAGGTGGAAGCTTTAGACAAACTAAAACAGAAACGTGCGAATGAGCGTAGTAGCGTTACGAAATTAATTACAAAAATAGAATCTTTGTTGTCAGAAAATATCGAAAACACAAACATTGAGGAATTGCAGGAGATGAATGAAACTATTCTCGAAAGAGAAAACACGTTGAAAATGTTGAATTCACAAATCGAAACTCAGTTAAATGATGCTAAAGAATTTGAAAAAAGATATTTCTGCAAGTGATAAATACAATAAACAAATTATGTCTGCAAAGTTTAGAATTAACATAAGATTAAATAAATGTAATGAAAATTTGTCTGTGAAAAATGCATCAGATGCAAATTCTTTGAACACTTCTGTTTCTGAAATAAATGTATCGTCATCGGCTATGAAATTGGCAAAGTTAAATATACCAAAATTGTCAGAAGCTGCAGGAAAATGGTTAGAATTTTTTAACAGTTTTCAAGCTGCGATTGATCAGAACAAAGCGTTAAGCAAGATTGAAAAATTCGTATACCTTAAATCATTATTGATAGGGCAAGAATATAATGTCGTTGAAAGATTTCAATTAACCGAACACAATTACGATTCGTGCTTAGAACTTTTAAAAGAACGCTTTGGAAAACCAGAGAAAATTATAAAATCACATATGAATAATCTTTTGGACATAGAACCAGTTAAAAATTATTCTAACTTAAATGCACTAAGAATATTACACGACGCTTGTGAAATAAACATTCGAAGCTTAAGTAATTTACGAGTAACTTCAGGTTCGTACGGACACTTGTTAAATCCGATGTTATTGAAATTATTGCCTCATGATTTGATTCTCGAATATCACCGAAAGCGTGATCCAAAAGAGGAATCTGATGTTACAGGTTTAATTGCTTTTTTGAAAAACGAAATTGAATGCCGCGAACAAACGTACGCAGTTAACAAACCGGAACCGAAATTCGTTCCATTGAACGGAAAGAATAAACACTTTGACAAACACAAAAGTAATTATAAATACACAAACAATAAGTTTATCTCCAAAGTTAATCCCTCGTCGACGGCAGAATTATTAGCTCCCGTAAAAGAAGAAAACTGTATTTTTTGCAAAAAATAACACACATAATAGTGAAAAGTATAATATGAGTGTAAATGAAAAACGAAATGTTCTGCGATTACAAGCTCGATGTTATGTTTCTCTAGCTCAAGGTCATCGATTTTCCGATTGTTCTGAGAAAACGTATTGTGTATACTGCCACAAAAAACATTATGCAACCCTTTGTTATAAAAATGAGAAAAAACCCGAAGCGTCGCAATCAAAAGGTGTAGAAAATTCAGCGTGCAATCACATTAGCATTGACAGATTAAAATATTTTTACAGACGGCGACAGTAGAACTTAAAAGTAGGTCACGCAATAAATTAGTTCGTTGTTTATTTGACAGCGCTAGTCAACGCTCGTATATTCAGAAAAGTCTGTCTAAACAACTGGGATTAAAAGTCGTGGGAAGGGAAGAAATAATGATTCATACTTTCGGATCTCAAGTGCCTCACAAACGGAACTGTGCGCGAGTAGAAGTAAAAATAAAAAATATTTTTGATAACGAGGAATTAATTATTCAGGTTTTAGAGACTGATGAAATATCGAATGCTGAGCTAGACTATCCTCCGCAAAATATTAAGGAGTTCTTAAAAGAAAGGGGAATAATTTTAGCGGATGTTAATCACGAATCTTTAAATAACAACAACGTATCTTTACTCATTGCAGCTGATAATTATTGGAAATTAGTAAAAGACAAAATTGAACGTTTTGATTTCATCATTAGTTACAATGGAAACTAAAATGGGTTGGATTTCAATGGGAAAACTATTTGACCGTATTGAAGATGGGGAAAATGTAACTCATGCCGTCGCAGTGACTTTATTAATTCACACATCGAAGATTGAAAATTTGTGGAAATTAGATTTATTGGGGATTCAAGACCCTGTTGAAACAAAATGTAGAAAGGAAATGGAAATTGCCGAATTGAATCATTTTAACGAAACTGTTACCTTTAAAGAGGGAAGGTATGAGGTTCAGTTGCCTTGGGTAACAGAAAAGGACTCTTTAAGTCAAAATTTTGATATTGCTAGACAGCGTTTAAACAGTACGATACACCGGTTTTGTGTTCATAAAATTCATAAATATAGATACAAAAAGGCAAATTCGAGGATTACGAAAATGTTTTCACAGATTGGTTAAATAAAGGAATTACAGAAGAAGTTCCTGAACACGAAATGAATAATCAGTGTCACTATTTACCACATGAAGCGGTATTCAAAGAAACTTCGACCATGAAATTGCGACCGGTTTTTGATGCTTCCTGTAAAGACAAAAATTCGCGCTCACTTAATGATTGTCTAGAAAAGGGTCCAAATTTGCTGGAACAAATTATTCCTATAATTTTAAGATTTCGCAAGAATAGAATAGGAGTTATTTCAGACATAAGAAAGGCTTTTTTGCAAATGTCAGTGAATAAGAGTGATCGAGATTTCTTACGATTTTTATGGTGGAAAGACTTTGACAAGGAGGCACTTAGAGTTTTTAGACATAAACGCGTTGCTTTTGGATTGAATTGCAGTCCCCTTTTAGTGGCTGATGTATTAAGCCATCACATTGATCTAAATTCGTATAAATATCCTGAAACAGCGGAAAAATTAAAGGAATCATTCTACGTAGATAATTCCATTACATCTGTTTCTGATGAAGAGACACTTACGCGCTTCATCGAGGAATCGAAACAGATATTAGATTTTGCCTGAGAGGGTGGGAGCACACTTCTCTTTTGAAATCTGAGGACAGTATAGAACCTACTCCTGTATTGGGAATTTTGTGGGATAAAGAAGATGATAGCCTTTTCTGTGAGGTGAAGACTGCTACTTACAAACCAGTGAATCTTACTAGAAGAAATATATTGTCTGCGGTACGTCGCATTTTCGACCCCATGGGTTTTCTCTGCCCTATAACGCTAACACCTAAACTACTCATACAAAAGATATGGTTGTTAAAAATTGGTTGGGATACAAATATACCCGAAGATTTAGGAAAAGAATTCTATTCGTGGATTGATGATTTGTCACTTTTATCCAGTGTTAGAATTCAAAGTGCTTTAGATATAAACGAAAATGAAAGTCTTAGTCTTCATACGTTCTGTGACGCAAGTAAACAAGCCTATGGATGTATGATTTATTTAAGAAAAGAAACAATTGAAAATGTATCGGTGTATTTTCTTCTCGCTAAAAGCAGAGTGAGTCCATTAAGAAAAATGACCATAAATCGTCTAGAATTATTATCCTGCTGTACAGGAGTCAGACTCGCAGCTCTTGCTTTACAAACACTCAAATTAGACAACGTTCCAAGGAACTATTGGACAGATTTGAGTACTGCTCTTTCTTGGGTCCAAAGAGATGACCATTGGGCGCCATTTGTCGCAAATAGAGTAAAAGAGATACGAAAATTGTCATCGGAATTTGAATGGCGTCACATTCCAGGAAATTCGAATCCAGCAGATATACCATCACGAGGGTGTTCGATTAAGAGTTTTGTGAAATCTCGCTGGTGGCAAGGTCCAGAATGGCTTATGAAGAACGAGGAAGAGTGGCCAACTAGTGAACTGATTACTAACGAAGAAGAAATTATGAAAGAAAAGCGAAAGAACATTATTTCGACTTTGGCTAATATCAACGCTGAAAAATGGTATCTGATTTACTTTTCAAGTTACTTTAAAATTGTGAGAATGATTTCTTGGATTCTAAGATTCATAAATAATTGTAGACATGGAGGAAGAAATTATGGCAAAACCCTGAGTGTTGAAGAATTGGACATTTCTGAGAAGAAATTATTGAAGATTGTTCAACAAGAAGCATTCTCTAGTGAAGAACAGTTGAAGGGACATTTTACTTTCAGAGATGAAGAAGGGATTATAAGATTGAAAACGAAGATTTTGAAAAGACATGATGATGAAAACTTCCGGTGCCCTATTGTACTTCCATCCAAACATGAATTAGTAGAAAGAATGATACAAGACTACCATTTACAACTTTTACATGCTGGTAACTTGTTCCAAGTTCTTTTGACTAATATTCGTCAAAAAGTTTGGATAATAAAAGGAAAAAAAACAGTACAAGGAGTCATATCGAAGTGTGTTCGGTGCAAGTGACACTCGGCGAAAGCTCTTGATACAGTGCCTTGTCCTCTCCCAGAAGATCGAGTCAGAGATGCTTATGCATTTGAGGTGACAGGTGTTGATGTAGCAGGACCACTTTATTTAAAAGAAAATAGAAAAGCTTGGATCTTGCTTTTTACTTGTGGAGTTTATCGTGCGGTTCATTTAGAATTAATTGAAAGCTTATCGACTAATGGATTTTTCCTCGGATTTAGAAGATTCATAGAAGATGACAGCCTAGCAATATTCGAAGAGGACGGCCGACATAGAGTAGTATACAGCGATAATGGCACAAATTTTGTAGGGGCAAGGAATTTGCTCCGATCTTTTGACTGGAACCAAATTATCAGGAGTTCTTCGATAATGAAAATTCAGTGAAAGTTAAATCCACCAACCGCAGCATGGTGGGGCGGCTGGTGGGAGAGAGACTGGTTCAGATGATCAAGAAATTATTGAGAAGAGTCCTGGGAAAAGCATTACTTTCATATGAAGAAATATTAACTATCCTATGTGATGCAGAAGCAAATATCAACTCCAGACCATTAACATACGAGTCAGAAGATTCCATCGATTTATGTGCACTCACTCCATCTATGTTTATTCAGGATGTGCGAACTGAAGGTGTTCCGGATCTGGACAGTTTGGATAAAGTCAACTTATCGAAAAGATGGTGATATCACCAAAAGTTACGTGTGGAATTTCGTAAAAGATTTAGAGATGAATATCTTGGTATGTTAGTACATCGACCAAAGACTGTACCTTCGCGAACCATGAAGAAAGGTGATTTAGTGTTTGTAGAGGACGATAAAAGGAAACGAACAGACTGGTCTATGGGTCGTGTGATCGAAACATATCCAGGAAAAGACAACAACATCAGAGTGGTGAAAGTAAAAATATCTAGTGGTGAACTGTTAAGACTAGTTCAAAGAGTATTTTCAATGGAGATAGACAATAAAGAATCTATCTTCGAGCTTAAAACTACTGAATAATCCACATCTTCTAGAAATACTGGTAAAAGGAATGATTTAGTAATTGATACCAAAAACTTTGGACTTGAAAATTCTGATAAAAACATTTAGTAGATATGGAAGAAAAATTGTAAAACCAAAGAACTTTAATTAGTTTAATTTTGTTTTCAATACCACTATTATTTGTTTTCTTTATTCCTTTCTTTGAATTAAAAATTTGTATACAATTTGATTTTACAGTTTAGTGAATTAATCTCTTTGTTAGTATTTTTCAGAAAAGAATTTTTTGCCTGTTGTTTAAAGAATGTAAGTTTGCAGAATATTAAGTAAGTTAAAAATATTCAAGATATTTGTTACGCCTAGGTGAAATTGTTGATTTTGGTAAGATTTAAATTACTCATCTTATATTCGTATTCGAATTTTCATTTCACAATTGTTTTGATTTTTTCATACTTTGTCAAAAATCAAAAGGTAGAAGAAATGTTACAACTCAAACGCGTAATGAGCGAAAGTTTCTCTTCAGCCAGTGGCAACGGTCGCTCAGTCGGTTTCTCTCGATAAAATTTGATACGAAGGGGGATAATTAGCATCTTTTGATTTGAAATTAATCTCAAATTATGTATATATTGTAATATAAAAAATGTGTGTAAATAAAAGTCATTAAGATTTAATTGAAGTAGTGATCTGAATCGAATATAGAAATCGAAAGCTCTCCCAAATAGAACTATGGATTTTATAAATGACAGTCGGTTTGATCCTAAAAATTCAACAACTGGTATAATAAATAACTATTTTTGACCATTTTGAAGTTAACTTAAACGCAAGCTGCAAAGGAACCATTCCGATTTCCATTTTCCATTTGATTTGAGAAAAATCACATCTAAGTATTTCATAAGAGGAATAAAAATTAAAGCTAGAACATATATAGGATATCTCTTGGTTGATTTTATCATATTCAGCATTAAAAAACAAGAAAGAGAGAGAACAGTGAAGCAAATCAATTCTCATTAATTAAGAAAAAGAACTTTCAAATAAATTAAACTTTGGGAGGGTGTTCTATCTCTGGAACAAATCAATGTCATATTCCGTTTTATATTTTCAAAATGTGTTCTGTCAATATAATGAATGCTTCTAGCGTACTATGAAATGTATGAAAAGTTTTGCAATTGTACTTTAAGGTAACTTTCGGCAGCTTCAAATTAACATGAACATATGCAGGTAAACTTGAGTTCAAAGGCTGCGTAGGGAAGAAGCCATGAGCATGAGTACATCGTATTATCAGCATGTGATAAATACTTCTTCATGCTCTGAAGCCACAGAAATTCTTTTTTAATCCAATGGCGGGCATTTGCCTATTCAGCAGTGGACACTTCTAAGAAGAGATGGCCATTTTATTGTGGAGATACCTAATCGGCGGCCACCTTTACCTCCTATGAGGGACGTATAGTTACAACCATGCCTTCTACGAAATTCGAAAATGGGCTTTTCGGTATACGAACAGTACAGGAGCAGTAGAACACGGGCATTAAGCTCCTCTAACCACTATACCATCTGCGGGAAGCTACAGACAGTAAAACACAATTTTTAGAAAGTAGAGCTATTGCCAATAATAAATTCTGGATGTTTGTCTTAAATCGGACAATTAATCTATTTATAGTATACATTTAAAGGCAATCATTGTGCGAACGAACTCACTAGATAGATCTTCCACGAAAGTTTGACTAAATATGTTTTGGAAATTCAAAGGAAATCAGACAAAAAAGAGTAAAATAATATTTGACTAGAAAAGATGTAAAATATGCATATCAAATTATGTATACTTATGGCGATGGTTTAGTGATGAATGTTTCCATTTACTGCAATGAGGATTTCCGCCATACACGTTTACTAAATTGATTTTGTTATTACCAGGGATAAATAGAAGGGCTGGCTAGCTCATTTCTTTGTTCGAATCCTCGCCGACGCGAGCGTAATGGGGGGACGTAAGAGGAAATAATCTGACGTCACTGTGATGCCACCTGTCCTGATTTCCCGCGTTTAAAACAGTAGTTTTATTGAGCTGCGAGACGATTTTCTAGAGGTTACATATCCCAAATTAATTTAATAATATATATATCTGTTTTCTAACAATGTATATATTTAAAATAATTTATATATATGTAATTTTAGTCAGTTTTTATTTTAAATTCTTATATTGTAAAGTATCGTTTACGTAATATGGCATTTTGCGCTGCAGTAACGTGCCGTAGCACTTACAGAAGTATGAAAGGATGAGATATTTTATTTCATGGTACCAAAGGATCCAAATGAGAGTTTGCTTTTGACGAAAGAATGGATACACAAATGTCAAAGAGAAGATTCTATTAATGTGAACAGCGGAAAAATCTGCAGCGAACATTTTCTATGCAGTGTTTATGAAGATATGAAAAATCGCTTGTTTGTATAGCTACAAAAAGAAACTGTTGAAATGGAATGCTGTGCCGAAAGTAAATTATGATGACAATAATAAATCGAAATTGATGATGACAATAATAAATCAAATTTTAATGATTTTGAAATAAAACTCACAAATGAAAATGTAGATCATCCTGAATGTTTAAGGATAAACAAGAATGCATTGATAATTTGAAGAACAAAATAATATCCTTAGAAAATTGTATTAAATTGTATAAAAGTATTGAAAAATAGAGAAAAGAAAAATTTTAGAACGTTTGTTTAGCGACAAAGAAGGTGGACGACATCTAGACAGAAATTGGTATCAGAAATTAAAATCTCAGATAGCGAAATTTGGGGGGGAGGAGCACAAATCGGAGAATTTGGAAAAATGTCTAAAGCCTATTTTTATAAAGACGCAGATTAATGCATTACTGAAAATGAAGAAAAAATCAGGTGGACTAGTGAAAATATTTCACGTTGCATCGTCATAAGAGCTCTGTCATCTTAAAGCTGATTTTTGAAAGGAAAAAAATTAAGAAAAAAATTGGAATATCTTTACCTAGTATTATTAAATTAAAGAAATGGTGTTTATTTTATTTTTTAGTGTTTTCTAAATTTTAGTGTAGTCCAAGAATTCAAAGTAATGTTCTTACTCTAAAGAAGGAAACAGGCGAATATTTGTATTCTGTAGAAAAAATATGCGTTCTCAGTTTCGACGAAATGCATATAGATTGAAAACTCTGCTATGACTCTAAACTGGACTAAGTTGGTTCTTTTCAAAATGTGCAGTTTGTTTTAATCAGAGGTCTCATTTCGCGCTCTGCCTCAAATTACTGAGAAAACCGCGTTTTAGATAGAGGATTTGTTTTAGAAGATGTAACTGTTTTAAATTTTGATATTATTAAAGAGGTTTTAAATAGAGATTGAGAAGAAATCAAATTGTGTCACAAACTAAAACCAAATTATTTAATGGTCAAGGGAAACGGGAGACAAAAAGTCGCTCCAGAGAAAACATTATTTTCAAAAAGTACCGCAAAAGGTATACTCTACCCCAAAGGAAATCAGAAAGCATCTGACTTCTATGAGTTAATCGATAATAGTACCAAAATAGTACCAACAAGAATAACAAGTATTTAACACACTAATTTTGTTAAGTACTTGTTAAAGTTATTCTTATTGTATCCTTTGTAACTAATTATTGATTAGATTTTGTGCTAGATTAGCATTCTAGATAAAATGTAATAGTATAAAACATCAAAGTAATTGGCATAAAAAGACCTGCTTCCTTTACTCACACTTTTGAAAAATTAAATAACTGTTTTAGGTACTCTGTTTCGTCTAAGCTATTTCGTCAAAATTAAGGTAACAATCTTATATACATTTATTTAATTGTAATATAGATATAAGTATAAATTACAAAATTATTTAAAAATATCTATTATATTGAATCGGAAGAGAATTATAACAATGTAAAATTTACAATTAGGCAAAAAAATCAAACGTAGGTTAGCAGAAATGTTGCCATATATGTCATATATGTTTAAACCTATGCCAATGTAAAGTTGTTTTCTGAGTAAATTTAAATAGCTA